TTACACTCTCAAAGCTTCCGGGTCAGCTTGACCCAGAATTGGGTCCCATTCGGTGTGATCCTTTTCTGGGTCAAAATATGACCCCCCTTTGGGTCCTATTTGACCCTTTCTGGGTCATAATTTGACCCCGAATAGGGTTATACAGAATGGGACCCAATTCTGGGTCAATCTGTCCCGGACGTTTTTTAGAGTGTATTGCCAATCGTAATTCTATGGTTGTATCACAAAAATCCTCAAGCACACCCTGCCCTTGAGAAGGGGCATGACACTGAACAAAATGCGCATGACTTCAGGCTTTAAAAAGGTCAACCCAAAACTGATTTGGATACTTTACCTGCTGAATGGTATTGTATGGTAGTTAGCATAAAGGGGACAGTTCGCTGGAAGGACGGGACGCCGGCTCCGAGAGCGGACTGCGTATACAATACTGTTTGCCTCTTCCATTCGTGATAAAGGGGCGTGCAAAATTGCAATTAAAGAACGGACTACAATCCTGGCCAAACTCGTTGGGACCCCCCTCACCCCTTGGCCCCCTCTCAATGTTGGGTCTCAATGCGCTATCTGCGTTCCAGCTGGAGAGGACAACACTGACTAGGGCAGTGAGGGACCTATGGGTATTGTTACCTTGGGCCAAGACTGCAGAACTCGGTAGCAGACTCGATCTAGCATATGTCGCGGGCGCTGATTTCGATTGCACCCTCTCGTGACTCCATTTCACCAATCGATGGCTACTGACACCTGTTCCAACAATTTTGTCCAGGATTGTCTGGTTAATACGTGCCTGTTATGTGTATCCGGCGAGGTACTACTTACTTTAACATCCTTGGCTATCGTCGATAGGGCAATAGAATTAAAGACTCTAGATCTCAATTTTGTCAACTTAAAGTGGCAACAAGCTGAATTTAACGAACACTGAGCTAATAGTGCAGAAATGTTTGTGAATTATCCAAGCTTCACAAAGACGAAATTGTATTGATCGTATTTCTTCACTTTCAGCGAACCAAGCGCATAAAGCATGCGGCGCGCGAGCGATATACTGTACATGAACGGCCAGCCACAACACGTCATTCAAGAATTTGAGTCTCTCACTTCCTTTCGTTTTGGGTTTTTTTGATGGATCATCGTTGCATTTCTTGAGCCAATAATGGAGTGACGAAATAACAAAAAATCCCACAGGATTGGTAGTTGTTTCTGTGGGCATTTCAAATTAAGAATGCATCAATTTTGCACATTTATGGGCCAATATGTCAGGGTACATTGTACACAGTGACTTCCTACAAAACGGTTGTGATTGTACACATGAAATACAAGACACTCATCTCCCTGTTTTTTTCTATTGTACACTTTGTCCAAAACATAGCTTCTACCCAACCGGAGGCTTCCATTTTTATGTTTTTCAAGAGCAATTAACGCAGTAAATTAGCACACGCAAAACCACATGGTATATGCACATACACAACTATGAACCAATTCAGACAATCCTGGCCAAAGCTCCATGGGAACCCCACCCCCGGGTCCCTCTTAATGTCTGTTCTCAATGCGCTACCTGCGCTCCACGAGATGAGAGTGTTGACCAGGTGGTGGGGGACCTGTAATAGGTATGGCTAAACACTCTAAAAGCTCCCGGGTCCTATTCGGGTAATATTTGACCCTTCCTGGGTCATAATTTGACCCGGAAAAGGGTCATGCCGAATGGTACCCAATTATGGGTCAATCCGACCCAGGAATTTTTAGATTGTATTGACACGGGTCCCAACAATCCTTGTGTCCAGGATTGTATCTACCGTAACTGTAGACTTTTTGGAAGTTGCTCTACGGTACGGTAACTATAGCCCCTTCAAAAAGTGTGGCGTGTTCCCCGTGACATGTTCCAATATCTACAGGGAATTTTTAAGCTTTTGTTCCGTCTCAAATGTGTACATGAGCCGGATGTCTTTAGACGATGTCAGAAATGGATTTCTACACTTATCTCTGTTATTGTGCAACGAAATTCCTTCAGATCAACACACTGTGGTGGCAGAACGCTCATAGACAGGTGGTGCGCACGCGAGAAATGCCTCTTCGACCAATAGGATGTCATGATATATGCGCTGCTGCGTCTAGCTGAAGAACGCGCACGTAAGTGCGGTGCCTCGCCGTTATGGCGTCTCCTTTCGTTAGTCTACCAATCACTCACCTTGTTGCCATCTATCCAGTGACATCCCTAAAACCAATTAGAAAGCGACCAATTCTGCGGAAAACGTGTAATATTTCTTCTTATTTCTAATTTGCACCAGCAGCCTAATCCTCAGATTGTAATCGTCTTCAGGAATCTTTGTTGAAAGACATGAAATTGTTTTCCAAATTCGGGAACATAGTGAAAGATTAAATGGTTCCACTAAACAGTGTGTTCCATAACGCTCTACGTAACAAGGAACTAGACCCGGGGACACCATGGTTAATCGCGATGCCTTTGCAACCCCAAATGAGGTCCCATCCCTGAGTTCCATGCCCAACCTCATACCCCTCCAAGGCTCCTGACTCATTCTTAACTATCCCAGCCGCCCCCTCCAATCCAATACCATCAGACCGAGTACCATCCCAATCCATAACCCATCCAATCCCACATCACATCTGATACACCATCTCATCCCATACCCCATCCTATACCCCACCCCATCCCACTCATATCCATTCCATTCCATACACCATCCTATACCCCGCCCCATCCCACTCATATCCATTCCATCCCATACCCCATCCTATACCCCACCCCATCCCACTCATATCCATTCCATTCCATTCCATACCCCATCCTATACCCCGCCCCATCCCACTCATATCCATTCCATCCCATACCCCATCCTATACCCCGCCCCATACCATACCATACC